GACATTTTTACCATTTTCTTCTTTGTGGATGTTTCCTGTATTGAGCGCGTTTGCCATTATCTCAGTCGGTTGTGAGGTCACATGTTTTGTGTTCATGTCATAAATAGACACAGATAATATAATTTGGTCTGCCCGTAAACTCCCCAGACTGCAATGCACTCATCACGTGCATGGCTGTTTTAGTTTGCGTTTGGTTTTAGACAATGTCGGGTCATAGATGTGCTATTGCAAGCATACACGGTGTTGTTATGTAGCTTCATGGACGCTGACAATACAACGTAGTGCAATGGGACCTTATATTGGGCTTAATTTTTCAGTTTCCATAGCAGGATTGAAATTCCTCGTAATCATGGGGTCCCTTGATTCTTTCATTAAGTTTTGTTATGAATATGGGCAGTTCACCTAAACTGGTCACGTGAATTTATTCCTGATCTTTCACCGGATAATGCATCACAACTTTACCTGAACTGAACATACCTTACTCATGACATGGGTGATAAATAATGCACCATTTTAATTCAAGCTTGCTTTTAACTGAAAACTGAGAAACAACACAAACCATTGTGATCATTGCACAGTGTAGCATTGTGGATTTACTTTATGTTGTATCTCCACACTTCGCGTATCATCATTATCATCGTACAACGAAATACAGGGAAGCAAACTTCACTGATCGCTGCCAAACTCGCAATGCATATGCATTGAGTTTTGATGGACGAGTACTGCTAGGGTGTCCAGCTAATAAGCAGGAGAACGATAAGGATTCTCAATCAGAGCCTTCAGTTCTGACAAGAACCCAGCCGCAAGGCAGCGCGTGAAACGAATTGGAGGCCCATTTATTTAGATCGATTATTCCTCCACCCTTTTTTACCGACTGAGACGCATATTCTAGTCGAAACCCCAACCTGCAGGACCGGAAGACTGGACTTCGTCCGACCTCAACCCTTCGATCTTCCATACATGATCAGATCTCCTAGCTTAACAAAAGCCATCCTGTGTAGCTCATTGGGTCAGAGAGGTGCACAAACCATCACACCACGTCAAGGTGCAGTCTCGTCATGATGGTGCATACTGCCTCTCGGAGCAGAGTTCGCCCACACAACGTGTTTTGCCGAATGAGCTCTGCTCTGTTTAGATATTCTACCTGATCAACAACTTTTGATAGAAAGTTGCTCAACACTTTTACCACAACTGTTAAAACCTTCGGAAACTCATGGCTTCAAAATGCAGGGAATGATAGATGTTGCTTTGGTCTTTTCAAAAATAAGCAGTCTGTTATTTCTGCATCTCAAAATTTACGGCTATCCGCAAATAAGCGTTACTTTCAAACATTAAGAAAAACAGTCAGTAATTATCGTCTCAGCGAATCTCAGGACAGATCGTAAGTTCGTAAGAAACAGCAAATGAGACTGTATTTGTAGGGATTGAATAAAAGATGCAACGTCGTAATCGGGGTCCAGTAGAGTTTAGCTCCTTGAAATTTTAGCGTTTCATTCTCAGCCAATAACAGTGCACTCCACGCGATCATATATCCACTTCTTTTTCGAGGAGATTAGCGAATTGAATATAGTTATTTTTCCTAATCACCTTGTGATACCTTCTTTAATTGTCAGTTTCTAGTTCTTTTAATTATTGAGAAATGACGAGAAATAGTTCTTTGGGTAACCTTTCAGATCAAAATGTTGTGCATCATGTGTTCTGTTAAGTTAGACGCAAAAGAAAGACATGGTGGAGAGTCTTTGTACACGAAGACTAGGGTCACATAAGCCTAAATTGCACACTTTGCATTGGAAATCTAGTCCAAAATCTTAATTTGAATAGGGCGTTTCTGTTGAGTTTGTAATGTAGAAGCCTGATGGATTAAAATTTGAAATATATTTCAATAGGTATTTTTTATGTTTTGTCTACTATCTCTCCCCATTGACCAACGTTTCCAATACCGGTCACTTAACTTAATATTCCCAGAAGGCTAGGAGCGCTGCAGCAACGTTATGAGGTCAATACAAATTTTTTACTTGTGTGCTGTATATATATATATGTATATTTACCACCGGCTTGAAAACAAGCATGGTGCCAACGCAACAACAATGACAGTGAAGGG